TTTCTTTCTTTCTTTCTTTCTTTCTTTCTTTCTTTCTTTCTTTCTTTTTTTTCTTTCTTTCTTTCTTTTTTCTTTCTTTTTGTCTTCCCGGAAGCTGCAAACATTATCTCTCTATCCATCTGATGGATTTAAGTTAATTTGTGGGCCAATAAGTGTCAGCAAAATGTGGACTTAAGTTTTTATTTTGGCCTGTTTGACATCTAGCAGTGGTAGAAATCTTTGCTGTCTTTATGAGCTACATTTCATCTGGTATCCATTTGTCTATTTACAGCCATGTTTTCTTATTAAGGTAACATCAAAAATCATATTTAATAACAAGAGCCTCTGTTTTGATAAATATTGTTTATCTTGGTACATTACAACAATTTAAAATATCCTTCCACTCCTTTACATCCTTGCAAGACTTTACAAAATGATACCCATTTAATTACTCACGGACAAGTCACAAAAATGGCCAATTATGTATGTCCTCAGTGAATGCATCACCGTCCAAAATGTCCATATTTGCAACAAAATTGAGACGGAATAACTCCAAGTTACAGTTTAATGTGACAATGATAGTTCACGTTTTTATGCTGTCCCCACGATCAAGCCATCAGATTAACAGCAATACTGTGAGCAGTGGCAAACTTCCCCCCTTTATTGTTAGACTTTTCTATCCATTCATACATTTTCTGTGCCTGTATATCCCATCGAGGTGCTAAAGCCAATTCCAGAGAAGCAATACGCAACATTAGCCTTTTCATTATTGAAGATTTTCTATGCTCTACCAAGTATAGAGCACTTTTACAGCTTAACATGACACACTTATAGTAATGCTTTCCTTAAAACTATGCCATGTTGCTAACACTGCAAGTAAAGCAGGTAATGTGACAGGGCTCTGTCACTGAATATTAATTTTCTGAGTGAAGTTGAGTGAATATTTTCTTTTACTACTCATTAAGATAGTCAGTCCAAGCTTCATATTGACTTTGCAGCAGACTTTAGCTAACAACAGGATCTCTCATCATTTTTTTGACGGATATTGCTTTCCCCATAGAAAAACTTTTTTTTTTAAACTTTAACATTTCAACAACTCAAGTGTAAACATTTGCATGCATCGCTTCATAATTTTCAGACTGAAGTTATTCATTGCAGAAAGGAAGCATCAAGTGATAATAGAGAAAGGACTACTTAAAGCAGACTATTGTTTCTGAATTCCTGGAAATTCTGTTGCATAAACAATTGTCTTCTTTCTGCCTTGAGCAGCATTCAAAAGTGTATAAAATTTCACTCCTGCCCACAGGAAAACATTATGGCCTGATTGTTATTGTCTTTGACTGGGAAAAAACTGTACATGCCAACCCTTGTGAACAAACATGATGATGTAGAACAGCACAAAACAAGCTCCAGGAGTATCTTAACTGTGATGATTGACCAGATTATGACATTGATTAGTCTCAGAGTCGTCTTAAAATGAGCCTAGGATGCAGATTGATTTAAAGTCCATGACTATAGAAAGGCTCCGTGACACTGAAAGCCAGAACTATGTTAAGGACTTCAGTCAGAATTCAATGCGGATACTTATGCCTGTCCTCTGGTGACAAAGGACAGAGTGCATAACCTCTTGAATCTGCATTGCCTATTTTATTCATTTTTTGGAACACAGTAATGCAAACAATGATGAAATACATTTACCAAATTAGACTTCAAGAAGAGTCCGACAAGTATATTAACCGAGAAGTCATCAAACATGGATAATAAATCAGCATGGTTCACAAGTACATTTTTGGTAATAAAGAAACAAAGAAAAAGTAGATAAAGACTTACATCGATGACAAACAATCTTACAAGCAACACGTAGATTAAACAAAAGAAAGGATTACAAAATCAGTCAGGGTTTTGCGTACAAAAACTTTTTCAATTGATATGGCATTTACTCTGCCGTTCTGTATCTTGCAAAAAAAATCTGCTTGGTAAATGCTCTGACCTTTTCACACCACTCAAATTTGCCCTCTGTTTGCTTCTGTGTAGGCAGCATCCAGGGCTGTAATTACTAAACTGCTAAACTGGTTAGCGGTGAGGGAGAAACATAACAGCTCTAAACAGCCAGGGGTTAATCAGATGCCCCGCTCTATTGTCAGACAGCATACCCTCAGGATATAATCACAATAGTGCCTAAAAGGGTCGAAAGTTAATCTTTTGAATAATGCATTTTAATATTAGATTTCTTTTGCATATATTCCATATCTATTTCTTTCACAATTTATCAATTGTATCAAGTAAAAGTTTTAGAACTAATTTAAGTGAAAAAACTCTCAAGTTAACGACTCAAGTCTTAGTTAGAGACGTCCAAAGTGTAAAAGTTGATTTTCCCTTTAATCAACATATCCAAAATTGATTTGACTGGATGCGCGCTGTTGATTTACTTGTATACTCAAAATATATAAAGTTCCATCCATCCATCCATCCATCCATCCATCCATCCATCCATCCATCC